TGCAGCAGACCTTTTATCAGCAATGTGACTACATAATTCCTCAGCAATTCTGTTGGTATTTTTTCTAGAGCACGGATCGTAAGTTGAGAAAGCTTCTGAGCAACCCGTCATGTAATAAGTGGCATTTGAATCAATAATCCACGAACTGGATGAGGAATATACTTTGAGAATCATAGGAAGAGTGTTTTCTTGGACGTGAGAGGTCGACAGACCCGCAGAAACTTGGTTGGCTCCAAGAAGCTTGATCAATTGTTTCATATGATTCTTTAGGGATCCAAAGGATTCTAAGATGTTTCGGTAGGAGTCGGTCCTTCAATGAAGTCGAGAACATCTTCTTAGGGTGATTCATTGAAAAAATCAGTCATAACTCTGATTAAGCCAAAAAATATGTTGTAAGCCATCGATGAATTTCGGTACAATCACAAGACATGGAATTGCAAATATTGCAGGTAGCAAATAGCAAAAGAAACATTGGAAAATGATAGAAGATGTTAGGAGGAGTTGGATTAGTAACATTGGTAGAGGGTAAGAACTGCAGCAGGAACAACGACACTAGGAAATGATAGAAAATGTTCACAGTCGAAATAGGAACAATGACGTAAGGTAAAAACTGCAGGAACACAGACAACAGGAACTCTTCCTGAAAATGGCAGAAGATGTTCAAAACAACAACGACAATTGTAGAAGAAACTGCAGCAAAAAAAGGCAGCAGGAACAGTGGCAAAGAAACAATGACAACTTCCTTTGCACGGCAGTAAAAAGGAAACAACGGCAACTTCACAACAACAAACAGGAACAGTGCACTAAACAACAACAAAAAAGAGAGAGGCCAGTCATCGTACTTGAACCTACAGGGAGGTCGGCTGCTAGAACAAACAGAGGAGGCCGGGGCTGCTGGATCCAGGGCTAGGCTCTGATACCATGTTGAGATTTGAAATCACCAGCCCACTTTTATTGATAGGAGGGGTATTTAAACCCAAATACAATAGGCATAATAATGGAAAACAATAAAAAGTATTAGGCATAATAATGAAAAACAATAAAAAGTAGACTAAAATAACAAGGAAAGAATATAAAACAGAATAAAACTAAAGAGGAAAAATATAATTAGAGTATAAAATCTAAAAATAAATAATAATGGTATAATCTATATATATTTATGAAAAGCCCAAGGGCTGATTTTATTGAAATAGAAAAAGATACATAAAGGTAGTATAAGAAGAGCCCAAAGGAGGCACCCTACCATACGATACTAATACCAAAAAAAATACTAATACCCAAAAAAAAGAGATACAGATAGACTTAATAAAATGTAAAACAAATTTAAAATATGCAGAAAATAAGTAGCTAGGGACGAGTCAGTTTAGTCCTGTCACTTCCTCTAGTTTTAGGAAAAAATAAGTAGCTAGGGACGAGCCAGTTTAGTCCTGTCATTTCCTCTAGTTTTAGGAGCGGAAGCAGATAACAAATTTTGAAGAGTCGTGTCATTGTCAGGAGTCATCAAAGTATCATCCATTAAGTTTCCAAGTTGGAGTGAGCCCCCAGTCTTCTTCTTCCGTCGCGAAGTATAAACCTATCATTCTTCATCGGAAGACTGGCTCATGTGATCCTCGATCTGATTTGATGTTAGCACCGCAGTAGGAGGAAAGGCAGTCGTGGCCACTGCGATAGGTTCCAATATATGTGAAGTGTGTATTATTACCTCTGCACTAGATGCTACCTGAATAGGAGCTGCGGGACTATCCTGATTTTCAGTTCGAACATTATCCGTTGTAGTATGGTCAGGAGAAGAAATCTCAGAGGCAGACACCAACTCCTGTCTTGTGGTAATTCCTTCCTCAGGTTGGTTGTTATCAGGTTTGCTGGGAGCGCGTTCAAGCACATGGGGTGCACTAATAGTGTGTTCCTGCTCTTGATTATTGGTTCTCAACTGTGGGTACAATCTGAAACATTTTTCCTGCGGGTGTCCAAACATCTTGCAGTGCTTGCATTAGTATGGTTTTTGTTCCATAATGATTTTTTGTCAATAACCATTGTGAGCAGATCTAAGCCAGACTTCTTCTACATCCAGTAATGTAATATCTCGTTCAATCAAAATCCTTGCAATAGAGAACATTGAGAAATGAACTGTCGGTAAGTCTACCTGCAAAGGTTTTCCAAGGATAATCCCAATTTCATATAAGATAGGTAGGTTAAAGAAATAAAGCTTGAGTTCAGGTAATGAGAACCGGATATGTGCAATTGGGGGTTCTTGACTGTGATCAAAATTGGGGGTCTTTCAGAAGTTAGCCCTCAATTGTGATGAATTTCTTTGAGAAAATTCTCGTGTAATCATCTTATGTGCTCAGTTGTATCATAACATGTCTTCCGTCGAAATGACACACCTGTCAATCCCCAACCAGTTTGAAGTCTTCAAAAACCTTCCTGATGATCTACATCTTAGGGCAACCTAATCGGAACTTTCCAACTAGTGTAAATTTGTATTTTCCTGCACAAGTTGAAATTTTAGCGTCATAATAGAAAATTGCTAGTTTGTCTGCCTTTTTTTCTACTTTTTTTATGAGATTGCAATCTCCATTTCCAGCAACAGATACATGGTAAATATGCGGGAATATCGCATTATCTGCGAGTTGAAAAGGGGAGATGCGTTTGTGAACCACTGTAGCATAGGAGGGTTTGGCGGGGTTATCACCGGCGAGGGTGGCGGCGTAGGAAAGCCCTGAGGCCATTACCGCAGTCAGTGCCAACCTGCAGCACAGTGAGAAGCTGCACGAGTGTCGAATGGCTCTGTCGCAGACCGGGCGGCTCTATTGTAAAGGAGGCGCAGTAGCGTGCAGCTCTGTCACAGAAGTCGCAGAGGAGACGCGGCAGCGGGCGGCTCTGTCGCAGAAGCAGACCGGGCGGCTCTGTCGCAGAGGAGACACAACAGAAGGAAGTTGTTGAGCGGTCGAGCGGCTCACAAGACGCAGCAGGAGCAGCTCTGTCGTAGACGAGACGCAAGCACGACCGCAGCGCCGCCG